CGTCTCCAAGAGATGCATCGAAACACCAGCTCCCAAACCATCCCAAGACCCCAACCCCAAAAACATTAGACCACTACCTTAAACTTAAGTTCGAAAACCCCAAAACGCGACTTTGCCAGCTGGGCGTGCAGAAAAAAGCTTAAAAGCCTCAAAAGCACTAAACCCGGCACCCACATCCCACGCCAAAGCTCCAAAGCTCTAGCACGAACACAATTCAACGCGAGGAGCTTGAAATCCCAAGGCCGAAGCCAAGCTCCTTACGTCAAGTCTAGGACTGTGATGTTTCACTGTCTCGTTATAGGGTCACTCTTGTGTTGGGAAGCGAAATTGCTATGGAACGCGCCAGTCTTGTATTGCTGCTCCCGAAACATCAAGTAAGTGCAACATCAAGAGCAACATTAGCAGCAGCAGCCACGATGCCTTGCTGCTTCAGTCCTGAGGAGCAGAAACGGAATCTCTGTTGTTAATGCCGAGCAATACTAAGGAGCAGGCTTCAATTCATAGTATTGGCCACCCTTGCGACTTTGAGGCTGTTCACAAGCCAAAATCCATTTGGAGGCCCCTGCACCCCCCTAAATCTTCAGCCCGAAACCCGATTGCCAAAGTGCTGTCGTCGTACCAGGATCCTCGCCCAGGCAAGTCCAAGTGTGAGTGCTGAAACCCGAAAGTCGTCGTGAGAACACAGCCCAAGGCGGCGAAGATCGCGAAAGTCAAGGAAGGCATCCTCAAGCGCTTGAGGGAACAGGCCGGGACTGGGGTCGGTAAGGTTAGGCTGTTTGGGGTTGAGAGGTTTAGGGGTTTAGGATGTTTGTGTTAAAGGTTTAAGCCGTTGGGGCTTAGGTTCAACTGGGAGATGGCTACTCGTGCAGCGTGTCGTCGTCTCTGTGCAGTGCAACCCGAGGCCCGGAATACAACTGCAGAAGAGATTGCTTGTGCATTACAGCTCCTGGAGATCTACAGCAGTTTCTACTCCTCAATCGACGCCCCTCATTCCTCTAGATCTGTTGTCCCAAAGTCCACAGGGCATCTGGCTTGGCACTTTAGATGATCGTCCGTGTGGTGATCATCCCCTTCTCGTACCGAGCGTACGCCTTTTGACCAAGTCCTCCCAGATGCTAAGCTTCGAAATCTCCGGATGTCAGCAGACCTAAAGCCCTCGCATCCCAGAGACCTGCACACCTGAACCATCTCTAAGTCTCTATTGTAAGTGTTGCAGGCCCTTTTAGGCCCCAAGCTCTGCAACAGTATATAGATGTCTTGAAAGCTTAGGACATCCTCCGCCTCCCTGCCTCGTTGGGGGCTACTGCATGATGATCAAGAAGACTCTATATCCTTACACTGCGACTCTATTCCTAAGTGCCGCTGCGCTCTGGAGTGGGCAAAGGCCAACGCTGCTGGTGCTGCTGCAAGCAGCTCAGGGCAGCCTTGCGGGTAATGTAATAGACTCATTCCTTCAACACCCCTATATGAGGAACTGAGGAACCCTAGTATACGATTCGATCCATACAATGGGAGAGGGGTCTGTTCAGCAGGAGTCTACAGTATCCTGTAATAATGCTCAAGGTTACCTGGACTACATTAGGTTCCTTTTCTATAGGCACCTGCTGACGGCAATGGTACCCTGGTAGTTAGTACGTTTGCAAGCGGATGTTGCCTGCATTGATGTGGCGTGATGTTGCAACCGTGTCTTCAGCAGACACCGTCACGCTGGTGGACACTGGTACAGGGTATTTGTCTCCTTGCAGCAGAGTGAGGATGTGAGCTGTTTGTCTGTCCGTCTATTCATGTACAAGGACATAGTTTCACGATCCGCCCACAAGTGCCGACCTGTGCTGACATGAGTGCATGCACCTGTTGGGGTCTCTAGCTGCACGAATCCAAGACGTACTTCTTAGGTACATGGAAGCGGGGACTCGAGTGTTGCAAGGTCCTAGTTTGCAGGCTACCCAATCACCCCCCCGCAGCCCTGTGTGACGCTGTTCACGCGTTGGATGCTGGCTAGCTGTGACCCTTGTTCCGGTGCACTGCGAGGTGCTTGGCGTGACTTGCTCTAGATGTATCGAAACACCAAAGTCTAGAATCCTCCAATCAAGCCTTAAAGCCCGAACCCTTAAACTGTAAAGCCTGGCGGCAACACAACCTTCGTAAAGCCGTTCATAAACCCTTAATGCCCGTTTTTGTAAGCCGTTTTCGCTACACCCTTGTGAAGCGAACCCCTTTAGCTTTAGCCCTGGCTGAGGCCCCTGCCGCACCGGCTCCGGGTGTTCCATGGCCCGAAGTTGGGCGGGAGATGAAGCTTTCGAAGGGCTCAGGAAAATGCTAAACATATGGGTGGCTGTCAATTATGGTCCCTTTTTGGGTACCCTAAATATTAGGTGCCGTATTATAGTAAGGACCCAAAATGGGACCATAATTTTGTCAACCACCCACATGGAGCTCCATGGTTTAGGAGGCCTGACAACGGCCTCAGCATCCCGTCATAGTCCCTGTCAAAGTCTACGATGCTATTCTCGAAGGCTCGCTTCTAGTCAGCGCCTCTGTGTGTTGAGGGTTTACGGATAGAGTTGAGTGAGGGGTTTGGGGGTCTACGAAACCCTGAGCCTAAAGATCTAAGGATCCATACTTTCAGGCTTTCGGACCGAAAGGCTATACCTTCTGGGTATGCTTTCCAGCCATAAACAGCACGACAAGATCTCAGGCACCCGCACCGTCGTCGGGAGCGCAAGTGCCTCAGGGCTTCGCCAGATTGGTTCTCAGGGTTGTGGAGAAAACTGTAAGGCTTCAGTAAGCTGGTTTCGAGGTTTTAGGAAGCCAACTCACCAAAATGACACCAGTCTGACCCAACTCCAAGTCAAGCACCGTAGCCGCCGTATGCTTCTATCACATTGTAAGTTGTGGGTCTGCGCGTATGTCTTGCGTCCCACAGGTCTGAACCATTAGCAACAACAGCCCCTAATAGTCGACATTGTATACCTCCATGCGCTTGTGCTAGCTATTAAGGCCCCTATATTATGTCGCGCCAAAGCCGTATCACTTACTATTGTTTTACAGTCTTGCAGGCCCGAACCAAAGGGAAACCTTACAGTCAGATTGGAGGTATTTGTATCTAGGCTCTGGGAATTTGCGGATTGACACTTGTGCTCCCACGCACTCTTCTGTTCACCGCGGAGCATCCTCAAGCAATTTCACGCGCCTCCCTCATCCAAGGAGATGGGGTCTGGTTGCCTAGCTTTCTTCTTCTTATGGGAAGCGAAGCAATCAGTATCTACGCGAGGTTTATGTCTTTCTTGTGCGCAGATTTGGGGCATTGCGGCATAGGGTTTGTGGTCTTTCATGTCGGGTCTAGGGTAGACTCTTCCTCCGGTTTGACGTGAGGGACAACGAAGATGCCAGGGCAGGGGCAGCTGATCCCTTGAGGACAAATTCTCCTGCAAAAAGATGGAGCCTTACATCTCGTAAACAGAATATTCTTGGGGAGACTTGTCCTGTGGCTTTGGACTTGACGCTGCTGCTGCGGCTCCGGTACCCTAATTCAACCTTGACCCCGACAGACCCTAATATCGAAAGTCCCCAAACTCCCGAATCTTTGTGCCGGCTTTGGCTCAGAGCAGCTACAGTTTTTCTGCAGCTGCCGAGCTTTTCGGGGCTCTCATCCCGACTCAGCAGCCGCTGTCTTAATACAGAGGAGGTTCTAATGGGTTAATGAAAGGCTGAATACCAAAACGGTCAAGTTTATCAAGACTATCCTTTTAGGACCCAGCACACAACTGTAGAATAATTGGTTAATGATATCCGGGTCTAGGGTTTTGGAGTTTCTAGGTACATTTGCAACTCGTTCCATGTCCCCCCTCAACAAGTTTAGTTTAGGGCTCACGATTGCGGTGTTTGGGCTTTCGGGCTGCGATGCCTTCTGGACACAGATGCCGTGAGGGACAGGGGTTTCTCAAACATATCTGCGGAAGATCAGGATCCCTACGTGCCGGACGAAACTTCAACGGGATCTTTCCAGCGCGAAGGACTTCAAATGACCCCATCCCTCTACCAATGCTAAACTGCCAATGCAAGCCATAAACCATATGATGCTTTTTCTCTAGCGGCGGGGGTTTCTTTACAAGCGTGTTTTGGTTTCTATGCCGACGCAGGCTTCACGGTGGGCTTGTATACAGCCCTAAGAATAAGAAAGCTCCGCAAGGCTTGTTACACTATGATACTTTTGTAACACCTCTCACACCCGTATACCCCATAGACTTGGGCCATTCTGAAACGCTGTAAAGCAATACAGCTGCCTGCCCCAAGGCCTCCCCGAACCCTAACCCTCTCACTTTCCTTAGCCCTGAACCGATTCCAAAATCCCTCGAACCCTTAAATTAACCCCAAAGCGCAAACCCCAAACCGTAAAGCCTAAACCCTAATCCTTGAGGCATTGAAGCCGATCATGGCGAGGCCTCTGGAAGCCTAGCACTTGCTCGAAGCCGATGTGCAAAGGTGTTTATTCAACGGGTCTTTCTTTGTGAGCGTCGAAAGGAGTTTATGCGGATTGTGGGGCTTCATACAATCGTGACCCAGAGCTTTGGAGGGGCGTTTACAGTGGGAGATGCTTTGCAGACAGACTCTAATCTAAGCCGCACTACGATGTTTTAAGGACGCGCCTGAAGCCGAAGGCAGAGTTAGCTATGTCTTCCACAGCCGAGCAATGGCAACTCAGATGCAGCTCTAAACTCGGAAAGACACAGAGTGTCTGTGCAAAAAGTCCATTCTCTTGGGTTTCTAAACCGCCAGATGGCGTGGAAGAAAACTGAAAGCTTGAAACTTGTTGGCTTGCTGGCTTGGGTTTTGATGGCTAAGTGCCCGGCCACTGCAGCCAGCTCATCTGTCAGCCTCGCCGTGATGATGTTTACGTATTGTGCCTTTTGGCGGTATCTCCTCCGGCAAACCCGGACAGGACTGCGCTCGCCTCGATTTGTGCCCTGCTGCTCCTACACGGAGCAGCAGCCAGAAAGATGGACCGGGTCGAGCTCAGGTTTCAGTTTACACAGGGGTCTGACAAACTAAACACGGAGTTGAGGTTCCATTTGATCAGTCTTCGCTAGGAGCTCAGTTCGCAATGCTGTAGGGTCTGGTGTAAGGGTTTTTCACGCGGTTCAGGGGTCGTACAGGGTCCGATAGGTCTGCATGCTGTTTGTGTTTGGTTCGTGTATTTTTGGGTATATGCTGGGTCCAAGAAAACAGTAACCCACAATCCCAGGTAAATGGAGGGACTTTTCTGAAAGTTTGGGTCCTTGATTTGATTGAATGTCCCGAAAGTCGGCAGTAGGATCGCCTGGGCAAGACCTTCTATGAAACTGTCCGATGGTGGACCTGTGGAGATTTATGGGTAGGCTTAGATTGGTATACCACCTGCGCTTACAAGCCTATCGTAATGAACGCCCGAACCGCCGTAATCCTTCGGCAAAGAGTTGTTGAGCGAGGATTTCGACACAGCCAAGCCTTTCGGCAAGGCGAGGGGGCCGAGGGTTCCTAAACCCAGAAATTTCTAAATCCTTACAAGGCCCTACCTGAGGCCAGCAGCCCTTGATGAGCTCAGATCGGATCTTGTTCAGAGGTTCCGTGTATCAGATCCTTTCAGGGCCTGTGCTGCTTTCATAAACGACCCCGCGAAGAGCTTGGGGTTTAGGGTTTCGCAGCTAATATGTGGGTGTATTGGGCTGCATATTGTTTCATGGTCAGGTGAGGCTTAAAGGCAACAACAAAGACAGCATCAGACATCTCTTGCTAAAGTCAATCCGTGCGACGTGTTTTTTGGATTGGAGCCCTTCTTGCACCACCTCGACCAAGACTCGGACACGATATAGTTTGCGCGGTCGTATGCCTCAACTCCCAGACCCTATCAGCAAATCATGGCGCTGACAGACCCTCACGGAAATTAACGCCATAAAGCCCGAACTTAACACCACAAAGCCCAGACCCTGTCCAGACCCAACATCCCCAAGCCGTTAAACCGCGTAAAGATACCTATATTACTTATATAAACTCCTTAAAGCACCCTGAATACCTTGCGTCACCTCCCCCCATCTTTAAGCCGCAAAGGCGCCCTATAGCAGAATTTGTTCGGGTTGGGTATTGACAGAAACCCTAAAGCCCTAAAGCTTCGTTTGTGGTGTGTGACTGAAGTTGACTCGAGTGTGCCTTTCACCACGCTGCGAACCAAGAACCTCGTCTGGCTGTGTCCGAGTTGCGATAGCATCAAGCCCTACAGTAAAGCCCCAAAACCTACCCGAAACCGGAATGCATGGTTTAAGCCCTGGAGCTATAGGGCTCCCTTCAAAAACCCGAAACCCGAAACCCCTGGGCCCTGGCTCTTTGGGGGGGCAGGTCCTGGAGCTCCTCGCAGGCCAGGCCGCCTTGAACTCTGAAGCTCAGGGCAGGGTGTCAAGCTTCTTTGGGCTTTGAGGAAGTGAGAAACTGGTAGAGACTGACTATAGTGTATTGAGACCAGTATCGCTGCAGACCTTGCCAGGCTTTGTCCGAGTGTGAGTGTCAAAAGACTGAGTAGGACAGCCTAGGCCCTTAAATTCCTCAATACCGAGAAACCTATAGGTTGTAGGTGACAACATACGAAAACCTGAACCCACCTCAAGGGCCACGAAATGGGGAGTGAGAAGCTCTGACTCTCACAGCGCGGAGCGGCTTGGAAGACCAGAGATATACCCAAACCTGCCCGAACATTCTCTTTTTGGGACAGCAGCAGCCAGGGCAAGGATTCTCCTCATACCTACCTCCCTGCATGCATGCCTACATGGATACAGACATACGTACATCCATAGATACAGTTATGGCGTGGTCTACACACGCACACAGACACACACAGACACACACACACAGACACACACACACACACAGACACACACACAGACACACACACAGACACACACACACACAGACACACACAGAGACACACACACAGACACACACACACAGACACACACACACACACACACGCAGACACACACGCAGACACACACGCAGACACACACACACACACACACACAGACACACACACACACACACACAGACACACACACACACACACACACACACACACAGACACACACACACACACACACACACACACACACAGACACACACACACAGACACACACACACACACACACACATGCGAATACCATGAGAACTGCTGCCTGGCCCGAGTCACGGTGCAGTCGGCTTTGGTTGTTGAGGCTTGTGCTGCGGTTGCCCCCTGGCAGATTTCGAGCCACCCATGATTCTGGCCTGGCCCAAGTTTCTAAGACGGCCTCAGCTCCCTTCTGAAATGTCTCTCTAACTCCAAGACCAGACCTTGAAACTGAATCACCCAGCCGTTGCAGGCATGAAGACGGAGCTGGCAAAGGAGGCAGATGCGGACAAGGCTGCCGGGAGTTTGGCGGCCTGCACCGAAACCCAAAGCCACATGAGGCCCTTTCCAGAAATCGGACTCATACTTACCGTCCGAAACTCTCGCCGATGTGCTGCAGAAACCCTAAACTTTACCCTCCAGAAGGCTGTGGGGCTTTCTGGCAATGAAGCTGCAAATCGTACGATTTTCAACTCGAGCCCTTGACTCGAACCCGATGCCGGGCGAGTTCTCATATGAAATTTTTGGGAGTGCACACGAGTCTAATTTCTCGTTTGGAAATTTGTTAACATACTTAAACTTTCGGGCAGGCTTTCTACGGCTTTGGGTGAGTAAAGGTTCTCAACCGTGGCCTCGCCTCAAGCGAAGAGACATGCTCAAGACCCCCGTGCAGGTGGCATGGTTAAGAAACAAGATCAATGAATCAGCCCAAAGACACTTCATCACAAAGTCAAGCTGCAATGCAGCGTTTTGCAAGAATCTAACTCGGGTTCCAAGCAGACCTTCCGAACAGTAGCACGTAGTGAGGGACCCGCACTAGCCAAAGCCAGCATCTTAGCGTGTGGTCTTGGGGCTTGACTTTGGAGGATTTTTGTCTTCCAGGTGTTGGGCTTAGGGACATCTGGGAGTCTGTTTAAAAGCCATTCAGACCCTTGTAGAGTCCACTTGTTCCCGAAAAGTCCCAAAAAAGGTTCCGCAGTGGACTTGCTCGAGCCTTTTAATTTGGCCTCCAAGTACAACCACGAAGAATTCGAAGAGTGTAAAGAGTCGAGTGTTTCTGTACAGGGGTCTTGGACAACGGAGTACACTATACCCCGCGCTTCCTGTGTGACGATGACTATACGGTATTGTTTTAGCCCACAAACCCTAGTCGACTGATCACGGCCGAGATTCAATCACTGGGTCCCAACAGAAGCGTTTTGCCGGATCTTGTTCGACATCTATGTGTTGCGAGAGATTGAAACATTGGCTCCCAACACAATCGTTTACCCCGGTCTTGTTCGACATCTATGTGTTTCGAGAGATTCGAACATTGGCTCCCAACACAAGCGTTTACCCCGATCTTGTTCGACATCTATGTGTTGCGAGAGATTCCAACACCGGGTCCCAACAGAAGCGTTTACCCGGATCTTGTTTCACATCTATGTGTTGCGAGGGAGTCAAACATTGGCTCCCAACAGAAGCGTTTACCCCGATCTTGTTCGACTTATATGTGTTGCGAGAGATTCCAACACCGGGTCCCAACAGAAGCTTTTACCCTATCTTGCTCGACATCTATGTGTTGCGAGAGATTCAAACATTGGCTCCCAACAGAAGCGTTTACCCCGATCTTGTTCGACATCTATGTGACTATGTGTTGTGAGAGATTGAAACACTGGCTCCCAACAAAAGCGTTTACCCCGATCTTGTTCGCCATCTACGTGTTGCGGGAGATTGAATCATTGTCTCCCAAGACACGCGTTTACCCCGGTCTTGTTCGACATCTATGTGTTGCGAGAGATTCAAACATTGCCTCCCAACAGAAGCGTTTACCCCGACTTTGTTCGACATCTATGTGTTGCGAGAGATTCCAACAACGGCTCCCAACGCAAGCATTCACCCCGATCTTGTTGGACATCTATGTGTTGCGAGCGATTCAAACATTGGCTCCCAAACACAAGCGTTTACCCCGATCTTGTTCGACATCTATGTGCTGCGAGAGATTCAAATATTGACCCCCAATACAAGCAGTTACCCCGATCTCGTTCGACATCTATGTGTTGTCAGAGAGTCAGAGACTCAGAGATTGAACTATTGGCTCCCAACACAAGCGTTTACCCCGACGTTGTTCGACATCTATGTGTTGCGAGAGAATCCAACGTTGGCTCTCAACACAAGAGTTTACCCCGACCTTGTTCGACATCTATGTCTATGTGTTGCGAGAGATTCAAGCATTTCCGATCTTGTATGTGTTTCGAGAGATTCAAACATTGGCTCCCAACACAAGCGTTTACCCCGATCTTGTTCGACATCTATGTGTTGCGAGAGATTGAAACATTGGCTCCCAACACAAGCATTTACCCCGATCTTGTTCGACATCTATGTGTTGCGAGAGATTCAGACATTAGCTCCCAACATAAGCGTTTACCCCGATCTTGTTCGACAACTATGTGCTGCGAGAGATTCAAACATTGGCTCCCAACAGAAGCATTTACCCCGATCTTGTTCGACATCTATGCGTTGCGAGAGGTTCAGACATTGGCCTTCAGCACAAGCGTTTACCCCAATCTTGTTCGACATCTATGCGTTGCGAGAGATTCAAAAATTTACCGGGGTCTTGTTCGACACAGATTCAAATATTAGCTCCCAAGACAAGCGTTCATGCCGATCTTGTTCGGTATCTGTTCCTTGCGAGAGATTGAAGCATTGGCTTTCGACACAAGCGTTTACCCCGACCTTGTTCGACATCTATGTGTTGCGAGAGATTCAGAGATTGGCTGCCAACAGAAGCCTTTACCCCGACGTTGTTCGACATCTATGTGTTGCCAGAGATTCAATCAGTGGCTCGCAACACAAGCGTTTACCCGGATCTTTTTCAATTTTTCACATCTAGCGTTTACCCCAATCTTGTTCGACATCTATGTGTTGCGAGAGATTCAGGCATTTGCTCCCTACACAAGCGCTTACCCCAATCTTGTTCGACATCTATGTGTTGCGAGAGATTCAAACATTGGCTCCCAACACAAGCGTTTACCCCAATCTTGGTCGACATCTATGTGTTGCGAGAGATTCAATCAGTGGCTCCCAACACAAGCGTTTACCCCGATCTTTTTCGACATCTATGTGTTGCGAGAGATTCGAACATTGGCTCCCAACACAAACGTTTGCCCGGATCTTGTTTCACATCTATGTGTTGCCAGAGATTCGAACATTGGCTCCCAACACAAGCGTTTACCCCAATCTTGTTCGACATCTATGTGTTGCGAGAGATTCCATCATTGGCTCCCAACACAAGCGTTTACCCGGATCTTGTTTCACATCTATGTGTTGCCAGAGATTCAAACATTGGCTCCCAACACAAGCGTTTACCCCAATCTTGTTCGACATCTATGTGTTGCGAGAGATTCAGACATTTGCTCCCAACACAAGCGTTTACTGCGACGTTGTTCGACATCTATGTGTTGCCAGAGATTCAATCAGTGGCTTCCAACACAAGCGTTTACCCCGATCTTGTTCGACATCTATGTGTTGCGAGAGTTTGAAACATTGGCTCCCAACACAATCGTTTACCCGGATCTTGTTTCACATCTATGTGTTGCGAGAGAGTCAAACATCGGCTCCCAACACAAGCGTTTACCCCAATCTTGTTCGACATCTATGTGTTGCGAGAGATTCGAACATTGGCTCCCAACACAAGCGTTTACCCGGATCTTGTTTCACATCTATGTGTTGCCAGAGATTCAGACATTGGCTCCCAACACAAGCGTTTACCCCAATCTTGTTCGACATCTATGTGTTGCGAGAGATTCGAACATTGGCTCCCAACACAAGCGTTTACCTGGATCTTGTTTCACATCTATGTGTTGCGAGAGATTCAAACATTGGCTCCCAACACAAGCGTTTACCCCAATCTTGTTCGACATCTATGTGTTGCGAGAGATTCAGACATTTGCTCCCAACACAAGCTCTTACCCGAGAATCTTGTTCGACATCTATGTGTTGCCAGAGATTCAATCATTGGCTCCCAACACAAGCGTTTACCCCAATCTTGTTCGACATCTATGTGTTGCGAGAGATTGAAACATTGGCTCCCAACACAATCGTTTACCCGGATCTTGTTTCACATCTATGTGTTGCCAGAGATTCAATCATTGGCTCCCAACACAAGCGTTTACCCCAATCTTGTTCGACATCTATGTGTTGCGAGAGATTGAAACATTGGCTCCCAACACAATCGTTTACCCGGATCTTGTTTCACATCTATGTGTTGCCAGAGATTCAATCATTGGCTCCCAACACAAGCGTTTACCCCAATCTTGTTCGACATCTATGTGTTGCGAGATATTCAATCTTTGGTTCGTTTTAGACTCAGAGACCGAAGCCTTTTCCAACCTGGAAGGACACGCATGCCAAGATGACCAGCCACTCGCATTCAAGCATTACTTCGGTTGAGGGTCTAGGGCTTTCAACGGCTTCTCCTAGGGTTAAGGGCCTAGGGTTTGTGGTTCGGGTCGCTGGGTTTTTTGTGGGTGGAAAATTTAGGGTCTGGGCTTAAGGTCGTGGGTCTGGGGACTACTACTAGTTCTGGCGCCGCCGTACCAGTACGTACGAGCAGGAGGTTGTGTACTGGTACTGTATCAGTTGCACTACCGCCATCACTACCGCTAGTTCCACTAGTACCTCCGTCGCGACTCCTGCCATTCCTCCTCCTCCTCCTCCTCCTCCTCCTCCTCCTCCTACCTCCACCTCCACCTCCACCTCTACCGCCACTGCAACCACTACTACTACTACTACTACTACTACTACTACTACTACTACTACTACTACCACGACTACTCCTACGACTACTCCTACTACTGCTACTACTACTACTACTACTACTACTACTACTACTACTACTACTACTAGTACTACTACGACTGCTACTGCTACTACTTTGAGAGTGGCACGGCTCAGGCTTCAGGAGTTACGTTTCTTGTGGGCCCTCTGTGGGCTATCCAAGCAAGCTGTTCTGAGGTTTGGAGCGCATGTCCTACACAACACTAGGGTTTTGTTTCAACCCTAGCACAGCCTGGGAAAGCTGGATTTGGCACCTTACTTATGACTTTCTAGGCTTGTGCGGTTCGCTTCAGTGTCAGGGAGTGTAAGTTTGGGGCTCAGGGTCTTCAGTGCAAGATTCCGGGCGGGCCCTCTTCAGAAGGTGGAAGGCGCAATCAAAATCATTGCCATGGTGAATAGTTTGCCAAGAAGCTCAATATTCTGTAAATCTCGAAACATTGTCATTGGGAAGAGGTATACCACGTTATCCCCCCACACCGAAGCCGAAGCCCTCAACCCTTCGCTCTAAAGCTCTGCAACCTTCAAAGCCTCACATGTAAGCCCTTAGCTGAAACCTCGCCTGCCTGTCGAGCGCGAGTGAAAAAAGCCCTTAGCTGAAATCACCAAGTCCTCCACCTTCTAACTTTCGCAGGCTGGTGTCAGGACACCAAAGATGAGAAGAACAGGACACGGTGGGCTTGGGGGCGTTACCTTGAGGTGTACAGGGACATGATCTCCTCTTGAAGCCTGAAACCTACCCGAATCATACCAAACCCGATAGAAGCCTTTTGACAACCCTGCAGCCAGCAGGATTATTTCCGAGTCGGACACAACAATCCAGCTCCAGACCACAGCCGTGAAGGAGAACACGGCTTTGGTGCCGCCGGCCAGTTGAAACTCTGCAGGGGCAATCCTGTACATTCTCATGCCATTGCTGCTGCTGCTGCCTGCTGAGGCTGCTGCTGTTGCTGCTATCACCACAAGCACAAGTCCTCCACCAGCATCCCTTCCAGAACCACCGAAATATGCTGCGCGGTCACGACTGCTGGAGTGACGATCCTCAGCAGAAACACTTCCGTGACGGAAGTAAGTAGCACCGCTTGTCAGGGCCAGCGTCTGGATTTCGACATCAGGACCTTAACGAAGGAGATCGCAGCGAACAAGGCGGCGTTTTAGTAACCCAGCACTTGTTTCTCCGGGTTCAATAAACAGAGAAATAGTTCTACCACACAAGCTCTCCAATTCTCAAGGCGCTTATGTTCAAAGCGCTGCATGCCCCACACTTCTCTAGGTTTAACCCGATGAAGCCCTAGTATAGACCCCCTGAAACAAGCACTTAATGGAACAAGCAAGCTCCACCAGCCCGTTTCCGAAGGCCACATTGGCGACAGCGGAGGCCTTGCGAAAGGATCAGCACGATTCCTTCACAAAAGACGAGACGCTGCCGGGCTGCGCTTAGAGCGGGGCCGGGGGATTCAATGAGGAGAATGGCCCATTGCGGGGCTACGGCTACTGTACCTATCGGTGGTATAAAGGGCGCTATTGTTGTCTATGACTACATTATCGCCGTACAGCCCCTCTATAGACAAAGTATGCTGCCCCGAAACTTTGTTGCAGCCCCACATGCTCGAAAGCATCCGGTTTTTGACGGTTCAGGCTCTAAGTTCCCAGTAGTTCGCCGGCCTTCCCCTCCGATGAGAAGGGCATGACCTAGTATTTGTTTTACAGTCTTTCTCCATTGAAAGTTGGAGTCGTGAGTGAATCAATGTTTTTGGCTTTGTGCGTAGTTTGAAACTCTACTTGCTTGCTTTTTCGAGCCCTCAACCCTGCAGGCGTTTAAGCCCCAAGCGAAGGAGTACGGTGCATGGCTCGGCTGAAGCCATGGCAGAAGCCAACTAACTCGAACAGCTACCCTCGAGCAACCAGTCGCTGCAGGATTTTCACTGCTAACAATGCTAGAGCCTTCACGCCCAAGGCATGTTTTGCGGCCCAGGGCATTAGTAGGCCAAAGGGTTTGGAGGGTACATCTGGCACAAGGTCCCTGAAAGAAAACATCGAAGCTGCCCGGATCCCGGGCAGCTTTTTTGTTCACCGGGTCCTTGTCTGGGGTTCAAACGTTTCGGGTTACAGGCTTGAGTCTTTGAAAGATTGAGATTTACGGTCGAAGGCTTTAGGGTTCCAAGGTTTGAGGGTTTAGGGTTGAAGGATCTTGGGTGCAGGGATTGTTGGGAGGATGATCTCAAGTGCGTGGCTGGATGCCTGAATGGCACACCGGTGTCTGGCAAAACAAGAGCCAAACAAGGCCAGGCCTTGTGCCTACAACGCGTATGAGCCTACAGTCTGCACTCACTATGGGACGATGTCTGAAACCCTTCATTTAATGTAAGGCAATGCATTCCTACTTCATCAATTTCGTGATTACGCGCTAACTCACCCCTGAACCACCCCGAACCAGTCCGAATATCCAAGCCTCATAACATCCCTAATCACCCTAATCCTTACTCCTATGTTTGGAGTTTGGAGGTTGCGAGCTTTTGCAAAGGTCGAGTCTCTATCTGATTTACTACCTACTTCTTCATGCCGTAGCAAACACACCGTTTGACTGACACTGTTGTTAGCATGGGCCTGAGGGGGCTGGCTGTTTTATGGCCCAGGGCAGATTTCGCGTGGCTAACACACCCGAAAGCGAAAAGAGGCCGAATCCGCAAACCTCAAACCCAGCTGAGAAGCAGGGCACGTGATTCAAAGGTCTTTATAGTGAGGATCCTATCCTTGAGGCTTTAAGTCGCCTTGAACCTGCATGCCCATAGTTCGAGACGCCGAACCCCTTTTAAGGCAAGATTTCAAAACTCTGGACAATCAACCCTGGAACCCGGAATAGGAAGCTAGTACGCATACACCTAAGCCCCTAAGCTCTGTGTAAAAGCCGAGGTCTCTGCGGCAGTGGCCGCGTTTTCGGTGTCGGGAAGCTCTCTGCTGCAGTCCGAAAGTGCCATGGCCAGGCCAGGGAGCGATCCGCCGATCCAGACTTTTTGGGAGTTTAGGGCTTAGGGCCATTTAGGGCCGTTTCGGGTTTAGGCTGTGATCAGTCAGATCCAGACTTTTTGGGTGGGCCCGGGCTTCGTCCTGCGTTTTAAAAGCTCACGGGATTCGCGTCGTATGGTCTGAAACGGTGGAGAGCTCAAAGGGTTCGAATCGTATGATTCGAGGTTGTGGAGAGCTGAAGGGATTCGCATCATCTAGGCTGAAATTGTGAAGAGTTCAAGGGGTTCGAGTCGTATAGCTTGAATTTGTGGAGAGCTAGTCCGATTCCGTAGAGGGTTCGAGTCGCATAATTTGGATTTTTGAAGAGCTCAAGGGATTCGCATCGTATAGTTAGAAACTGTGGAGAGCTCCAGTGTTTGGCATCGCATAGTCTGAATTTGTGGAGAACTTAAAAGATTCGCATCGTATCGTTTGAAACTGTGCAGAGCTCAAAGGATTCGAGTCGCATAATTTGAATTTGTGGAGAGCTCAAGGGATTGACATGGTATGTGTTGAAACTGAGGAGAGCTGAAGGGGTTCGAATCGCATAAATTGAGTTTGTGAAGAGCTCAAGGGATTCGCATCTTATTATTTGAAACTGTATAGAGATTTCTGCAGCGCTCAGCGCTCAATGAGATTTTCATCCTATAGTCCGACAATGTATAGAGCTCAGGTTCGAGTCGCACAAATCGAATGTGTAGAGAGATCAAGGAGTTCGCATCGTATAGGTTGAAATACAGTTTGATAGACGTTTACAGCTCAGGGTTTGGGAGGTGTCGGATTTGGGTGTAGAGCCTACAAGCCCAGGAATCAACAAGGATTCATCCGCATCACGGCGCCTGCAAGAAGACCGTTAGGTAAAGGAGGTGCATATCTTGGTGCGCCTCTTGCCACAATGCGTTGTGACACAATTGAAGGCTTTTTTCGCGCTCACGTGTGTTTGCATTTACGTGGGTCTTCTCGTCTTTTGGGTTGCATTCATCGACTCCGATGTCATGACTACCCAAGCCTTTTGGGTCCAAGCCAGCTGTCTGGCATGAGGATACGAATCCGCACATAATCATAAGAAGAGTAATAATACTAGTAGTAATAATGATTATGATAATGATAAGTTTGAGTTTCAGTGTTGAGCCCCTCTCTCCAGGCTGAGGCTTGTGGTGCACAGCAACTACGACAAGATCCGGTCGCTTCTGCTGCAATCCAGTGCCCATGCGCAGGGATAGACGTCCTGTTTTCTATTGAGGACTTCTTTCGAACCTGCAAGAGGCCTTAGTCCACTGTCTGAATGTTGGTTGTGCTGCAACTCCTGGCTGTTTTCACCCTAACACATCGACTCGCTGCCATATCGAGACAGGTGACAAAGGCGACGGTGGTGCAGAACCGCACGGCATATAGGGTGTTGCGATTTCTGGCCTTTAGAGATTGAGAGCTAGTGTCGTATGAACTGTTGGGAGGCTGACGGAGGGGCCTGTAAAACTTGAAGGCTCCTTTGCCAACTGCTATGCAAGGAGACAATCACTGCGATACCCCAAAGGCAACAATCGGAGGGCTTGAGAGGGTTTCAGGGTTCAGGGGGCTTCGGCTTCGAATTTGGAGTTATTACTTCTTTCTCTTCTCTACATACAACCTATGAGAGTAGTGCGAAAAAGAAGACTTTGCTCTGCATGAAAAATTCGGGCGACTGCACTAACAAGGTCCTCACCGTGGGCTTAGGGGAGCAGTGGTTCTGCGAGCTCCCGAAAATGACAAGGATCTTGATGGCTCTTTATAGCTACTATGCGTATGTTGGAATTTATAGATCAAAGCCTAAACCTAGACCCGAAAAGCCATAAAGATTCTTGGAAAGTTTCCCTTTGAGGGCGAAGACTAGCCGAGCCGAGCGGATGCTTCTGGACGACTTCTTGAAGGCCGGGCTTTTCAAAACAAAGCAAAATACGTGATACCTCAAGGATCTGAGTATTGCGGATTGACACTACGATCTTTCTATTCAGGATCATCAAGGCCAGCGGGTTCTTAATCTGCGAATCCCCTTGCGGATCTGTCTTTTTCGCCTTCGGGGTTGGGATCCAAAATTGCTTGCGGCTGTGGAGTTTTAAACAAAGGAATTCCAAGACCGCAAATATATGCTGAAAGGTTATATACATGGTCAAGCCCCGGGGCACCCCCGCCCGCTTCCCCCCCTCGCCCCCGAATGGTATCCCCCCGATTTGGTCATCCTCCCCCTTCGGAACTGTGGAGCTTCTGATCTTCCCGGACCCTCGCTCGAACAGTGCCGTGCGACCAGGCGCGAAGGTTCCAAACCAGTGTATTTGAGATACCTTTTGGGGGTGGGCGAGGGGAGGGGCGCAGCACGCACAGCGCACCACTGTCTCTGTGTGTGTGTGTGTGTATGTATATGTATGCCTGTTCATGTGTGTATTTCCAGGTATACCTGCGCGCTTAGTAACCCCTCCCTGTGCCTTAAACCCATGACCATTCTCGAAACCCGAAGAATGATACAGATTATGAAGCTCTCAAGGGTCCCGACCGCACAGCCCCAAAGCCTCGTGCAAGAGAGTGAAGGAAGATCCAGTTTCTGCAACGCCATCAAGCCGCAAGCCCGAAGAACACAATAATGATTCTGAAGCCTTCCACCCAAGCATCCTCACGCCAAAAACCCGAAGAGCGATGCCGAAGGATGCCGTGCCCGTGCAAAACAAAGCACAAGTGGAGAAAAGCCGCTTGAGAGGATCCGAGCCAGTTCACCAAGGGCTCGGGCTTCCTCCAGAAGAAGGAAGGGGCCGAGGCCGGGGTCAGCCGGGAATGATTGTCCATTACGTATACGCCCTGCCTTGGGGCTGACAGCTCAAGACTTTCAAGGCTTCTAGTTTGGGGCTGAGGGTGCAGTCAGTGTTGTTGTTTTCGGTTTTGTTTGACACTTTCAGGGTTGAGTGCAATCGGCATCCAGGGTGTAGGGAGCTCAGGAGTTGCGATTGAAGCTGTTTAGAGGTAAGAGTTCAAGGCTAAGATATGCTCTGAGAATTGGAGTCTAGAGCGTATAGGCAGACTTCGGGGGCTTAGGCTTTCTCGGGCTTAGGTTTCAGAGCTTGAGGTTTGAAAGTCGAGATAAGTGTCTTCAGACTCACATTCAGAGTTGCTTCAGTTCACATCGACGCATCAACCCACGATTGCCGGTGAACAGTGTTAGGTCCCGTTGAATATGAGCGCCTCTTTGAAGCGCTTGTTCAGGGAGGGAGGTGACTTAGTTGCACAGCTCAGCTAACATGGAGGTTCTGGCTTCAGAAATGCGGTTTGGGTTTTCCGAGACTATGAGCCATCGACGCCGCAGGTATTGGAGAAGTAGCTTGGATAACAGGTACTTTGGTGAGTTCTGGTTCCAGAGCTCTTCCCCGATCCTCCTGGACGGGCGGGCTTTAATAGCGCATACTATCCGATATTGGGTACATAGCAGCAAAAAGAGGGATGTTCTCTCTAGCTCTTCAGATGATTGAAACTTACAGCCTGTGAAGCCTAAGTCTTAGGCCTAAGTTGAACAGGACACCTCATCCCTCGAATTCTTGAGCAGTCAAACTTCTGCGTCGGCGCCAGGCGGAAGGCCCTGTGGATACGGTGGTTGGCCTTCTCCAGGCACTTTGGGGTTGCATGATGGCGGTTTAAGTTGGGGCTGTCCCAGAGCATTAGTAATAGTTCTAAGCAGTTTGAAACCATAGCTTCAATAATCGTTTTCAGCTGGACAGCATGGTACAGCGTCTGAGTTGAAGATGTTCATTCTGTTCAGGTATAGGACACAAGAAACTCTTGAACCTGACCCCTAGACCCCTAGACAGTGACGCGGGAGGGGTCCCAACCTGTGCACAAACTATCGTGAATCTGAGCGGGTCACAGGCTGCTGTCCTCTAAGGGGAGGCGATCAAAGCCACTGTTTGGACGGAACCATGAACCCCTACAATAGCCTTGGGACCCAGAAAGGCACTAAGACCCAACATCGACGAAGACTTGTATATTTCCGGTATGTGAGTCTATGCATTACAAACTCGAAGGCTTGAGTTAGTTTCTCTGCCTTCGAGGTCCTAGGTACTCTACTGTCGGCGTCCTCTACTGCAGTGTCGGCGTATATGCTGCGTGGATACAGCGATCCCCAGTATCACTCACCAACCGAAGGCATGGAAGTTTGGAAATAAGTCAACTGGCCATACTACTTGTTCCTCGGGTCCTTGCTGTAAGCTTCATATCGGGTTTCATGTCGAGAACCTAGCAAACAGTATATACGTAGGTTATGGTAATTAGCCTTAGAAATTGGAGCTCCTTCATTGGGATACTTGTGATACGGGTAGGGTTCAGAGTGCTAGAGCAACTATCAAGTGCGCCCGTCCTTGCTTGGGTCTTCCGTCACCCCGAAGGCCATGGTTGGCGACTTTCAGCGTGACCTGCAGGACCAGAGAAGAAACGAAACTAGTTCCGGCATTCCTCGCTCCGGCTTGGGGGAGGTGTAATTAACGTGTATTGGGGCTTTCCGGTGTTTTTGTTCGAGTTCAAGAAATCTTGCAACCTCGTGTGGGCTTTGCTGCTCGGGTAAACGCCGCTGACTGCCTGGACAGGGCTGTTGCTCTGCAGACGGCATGTCCTTGTTTAAACCCGACCCCCTCAACTCCAAAACCCTAGCCCTTCAGCCCAACTATTTAGCTAGCTCTAAAGATCTGACAGGAAGAGCAGGCAGAGGACGCCAAGTTGGAGAAGAGCTACCAGGAAAGGTCCTTCAGGGCTTGAGAGTGGCCACCTTCGGCCTTACAGGACATAGCTTCGTAACGTAGAGGCCTGCAGAAAGCTTAATTGACATTAAGCTAGGGGCTTGTGGTATCCTTTATGTGGAAACGATCATTGCGGTCTCTTATATCTGTTCTCCAAGCAAAACAGGGTTCCTTGTTGCCCGCACCTTCAGCCTTCGTTTACAGATGCTAGGCCTTGAACTTCCCAGCGTAAGGCATAGTGCTGCAATGGGGAGCGTGGAGGAACCAGCTATGCGGGTACCTGGTTTTCACGGGCGTGCCTTCCTGGCCCTAAACCGGAGCTTGACGCTCTCAAACTGAAACCTAAACTCTGCAAGCCCTAAGCCCACCAAAAGCATGCAAAGCCTGAATCGTTAAACCCCGAAGCCCTGAACCCTCTTGAACCGGGATGAAAGGCCCTGGTGGCCGCCAAGACGGGCGAGGTCGCTCCCAGAGCATCCGAAAATCTACGCAGAGAGTTCCCTTTCCCTCATATACAGCATTTATACATCTATTAAAGTAATATGGAGTAGAACACACAATATTCTAGCCTGCGTGTTCGTGCCCTTTGCATTGCGAGACTCTTGAGAATGGCACGGCAGAGAGAGAGAGAGAGAGAGCGAGCGAGACTATATATATATATATATATATATGATGCTAATTTTTGATATTTTTATGTCTAGTATTGAAAAAACCAGCGCCGAAGGTTTCAGGGAGTGGTGCTTCAAGGTTTAGCGCCTTATATGAATGGCCTGAGAGGTTACGGTTTAAGTTTAAGGTTTCAGGGTTTGTGAATTTTGTGACAGACCGCACCATACCACGCATTCAATACGGCTCTAAGGACCCTTAGTTTGCCTAAGACTGCACCAAGAATCGTTTCGGGTCGAGGGTTTCATCATGTGCAAGTCTTCTGCAAGGGCTTAAGGTTCAGAAAGTTTAGGGTTCAGTTTCAGTGGATTAAAAGCCATGGTGTAAGGCTGTGGGCCCAACAGCGATGCTAATAATTCAAGACCACTGGGTTAGTTTGAGTCATCGTATAAAGGTCAGAATGGTTCACCATAGTATCCCCATTCAGTGTACCAAAACCCGCTATTCTAATTACTCGTAGAAAGGCCATAGAAGGCTGCTGCATCAAGGATTTGGCCTTGGACTTTGCATTTCATGTGCACGGCTTTCGGGTCGAAGAGCCCCGTCGTGTCGGATAGCTACTTAGGGCTCTCGGAGTCTTGGGGTTCAATATCTACGGCCTAGGGATTGGGCCTGCGTCGGCGGGAGGTTCCGGATTTCCGGGATTGAAACTGTCGGATTTGTGTGTAGATCTTTGGATGTGGGCGAGCTTGAGGGTTTCATACGTTTGCATGGAAATTAAGGCTTTAGGAGTGTCTTATGGTTTCTTTTGGGTTCGGGGATTGATGGTTTTGCAGTTTGAGGGCTCGCTCTGGGACATCCATACATCCCCTAGACGCATCACGGGATCCTTAGAGGAAAGCCCTATCTGAACACGAAAGCCCCTGGTGGCACAGCGGTACTCTTTTCCCAAGAATCTAAGGATACTTAGACATTCTGGTCCCGTATTCCTCGGAGCGACCTGTTGTGGCAGGTGACGGCTGCGGAGGATCAGGTGTCCACAAAGGCGCCCCGGGCAACAAGCCAAGCTCTTTTCGGGACTTCAGGGATTAGGTGCTGGAGAGTACGGATTCCACAATCAAGGGCTTCAGGCTCCAGGCCATGAGGTTTAAGCTCCGGGCCATTGGGGTGCTAAGGGCATGGTCTCGGGCTTGATTGGAGTTCAGTGTGTGTAGAACTTCTGGCCTTTAGGAGTGTTGGGCTTGCTGGGGCTTGATGTCGACCAGCAAACCTTTCACAAGTTCATGCTTGTTTCGAGATGTTGCTTCATTTCGGGTTTAGGGGTTCGAGGGAGCCACAGAGTCTGGTTTTGGCTTTCACTCCAAAGCGATTTAATCTCCTCTTGGAGCCTTCCAAGTACCGAGCCTAAGCCCTCTAGCCAGCATTCAGAAAGCCCGTCATTAGGAGAAGGGTCCGTACTCTGATTCCGAAGGACAAGCAGTTTTTGGATTGTGGTAAGTCCACGAGCTACTTCGATTGGCAACTTTCGACGCTGAGTTTCCTTTTGATACACTTGTTGAGATATGCATCTGAGCCGAGGAGTTGGTCTTGTCATGCATGTTGCTAAAGCTCATGCCTGGGAATTTCTGTCCTGGCAATTCGACCTGTCGAATTGCCAGGCTTCGGCCACATCCGTCTCATTTCATGTGTTGCTTAGGTCCTAAATTTGAATCTGAGCCACATTGCGGTCTGGCAATGCATGTCCGCAGTCCGATGGCCCAGAAGGGTTGCAGAGGGTCGGTGGAGGCTTGGGCCTTGGGCAAGCGTTCCTACGAAGATCACATGTGTAGGATTCATTCAGCTTCGAAGCCAAAACTTCCAAAACCTGTATATGCATAAGCTCAGAACCGTGAGCCCATGCATGCCCCGCACAGGCCCCACATAACATCATGAGACGACACCACAAGGCAACGACCGAAAGCCCATCACTTAGATCACCTAGCGAGCACAGCAGTGTCACCCAAGCACGAGAAGGAAGTTTTTTCTGCTGATGACTGCGCCGCCATGCGCACGACCTCGCGGAGCTCTCGTCCCTGCACGGGCACCTTTTGTGCCTGTTTTCGCCAAGGCGACGGCCAAGGCCTCCGTCAAAGCCTCCGCCAAAGCCAAAGTCGCGGCGGCCAAGCCCCATGGGCCGGGGCCCCAACCCGTGAATGTTCCACCAAAGGCACGACCAGTGGGGGCAATTCCGCTGGCAGCTCCCCTGATGGCACTCCCCGTGCTTCCTGCACCGCATGCAGATGTTCCCCAAAAGGCCGGCACAGCAAACACAACTGGGGCATCGGCAGAGCTGCCAACGTGGACGAAGGCTTCCGCGCCTGGCGCCTCGCCGGTGAAGACGGAGGCGGAGTCGAAGGCCATCGTTGCAGCATCAGAGAAGGTCGAGAACGTCCAGGAGCAAACGCCATGCAAATCGCCAATCGCCATCTCCCAAAGAGCCACAAAAAGACCTCCCTACAGTAAACCACTGCAGCCCGTGTACCCCCCCAGCCCTTTAGCCCTCTTCAGAGCTTCCAGGCGAAGGAAGAGCTCTCTGAGGAGATGCAGCGGAAGCTTCAGGAGTGGTGGCAGCGAATCCAGGCCAGGGCCAAGCCAGGGCCCGAAGAAAAGGCTCAGCGAAGAGTCTTTCTTTGCAGTTCATGGATCTCTTATAATTAAGAAAACACGGGCGGGCGAAGGGGAAACGGGTCGCTCCTGTGGGTTGAGGCTTCGATCATATCTGCCAAAGAGATAGGGTATTCAGGCAAGAACAGTGAAGATGAAGCAGGTCGCCCTTTCCCGTGGTAGGCGTGAATAGCGGTTCTAGATTCTAGATTGCAAAGTCTCGGAATTCGCTGGATACCAGAAGTTTGACGTGCCGTAGGCCGTAGATCTGAAGACTGGGGGTAAAAGTACCAGTCACTTGCAGCATCAAGCTGCTGCTCCCCACTGCTTCAATGTGGTGCCCGAACCATGACGGTGGTACAGGCCATTATGGGACTGCAAGAGTCTCTTCAGTCGAGAGGTTCAACACACTCGCCAGAATCCCCCCTCAAGAAAGGCAGTCCAAGAATCCTTTTGTTCACTGTCTTTTATGGTTGTGATCACTGTTATAGTCATGTTGCTTCATGTCTAGTTTCGAGAGCCCAGGAACTCGGGAGCGAGCCCGGCTGAAGGCCGACCTGGCTCGCGACGAGCTCGAGGAGAGCTCCAGGCGCCGAGCGGCCTCGAAGCAGCTGCGCCAGGACGAGGTGGGATCTTCGATCACGCCTTGGCGCAATCTCTATTATGTCTATATATATATAGATATGCATGTACGCATGCATGTGTGTATGTATGTATGTGTTCATACATACATACATGCTTACATACGTACATACACATAGAGATACAGAGGCCTTCGACTATGGGGTCGGGCTTCGGTGTAAGCACGATTGCATGCACACAGAAGGGCATCAGGGTTGCCATCGCCGTTTCGAATTCGCTCGGGGTGGACGGGTTTAGGGCTTTACAGTGGCTTGTATATGTGCATATACGAATATCGCTACTACGTTCCTGAGTAGTACCCGTTTGCCCTTTTTAGTCTAGGGGGTCCTTATTGAAACCTAAGTAGCTGAGTGGATACACATTATACTTCTTGGGATAATGCTACCCACTATAGAACTGAAAGTGTACACTTTTGGGGGCTTATGAACTCAGCAACTAAGAAACCCAACGGTAGGAAAAAGGGTACCCTTATTGCAGACGGACTACTACTCCGAAACCTAGATTATAATAGATACGAAAATATATGAGTAGATGACCTATCACGCAAAAAAAATCATATCATACATCCATCGCCATCCATCCACCCATCCATCCATCTGTCCGAGCATGCATGCATGCATGCACGATGCAAATACGGGCTTTGTAAGGCTTGTCGTTTGGGGTTTAATGTTCAAGGTGTTTCAGCGCTCTCGGAGGCCTCAGCAAGGCTTTAGGACTGTAAAAAATTACATTGAGAGGGCTCTCTAAGGAATGGCGAACCGAGGGTTCTCTCTGTGTGTATGTGTATGTATATATGTATCTATCTATCTATCTATCGATCTATCTATCGATCTATCTATCTATCTATCTATCTATCTATCTGTGTGTGTGTGTGTGTGTGTGCGCATGTGTTACGAGCTTTCCCGCTTTGCGCCCCTGAGGCGCGAACCCAACTCGAAGCCTAGAAGCCTAACAGACGAAAACCCAACCAACTTAACTCGAAAGCTGGCGGCTGACAGGCGGAAGTCGACCAGGCTTACGAGACGAAAACCCGAAGGAGTGAACCCAACTCGAAGCCTGACAGTAAAACAACTTTAGAGCTCTAGGCATGCACCGCGATGCAAAAAGGGCTCTCGTTAATAGGTCCCATGAATGTTCTCAGAGGCGAAGCACAGCGAAATCACCAAGCTCAAGTCTTTTGATTCTCATGTAGACTCTCAGAATTAGAAGACAGAGTGTTGAGGACGAGGTGTCGTGAGTCCAATGCTTTTCTTTTCCTTAGCCCTGACAATGAATATAACAAGCATTTTGTTGATCAAGACACCTTTAACGTATAAGCTTTTTTGTAGCCCCGCCGACCAGCCAGTAGCCCATTAGAGCCCGTGGCCAGAAGACTTGCATGGTTTTGCGAGGGCTGTGCACAACATCGAGACCCACATCTTCAACCTCAACCCGACAACCCCGAAATCCGAGCCCATGACCCCGAAAACCGAGTCCAGGCCTTTCTCCGCTGCATGGCCGGCGGACGTCTTCTCGCTTTGGACCCCCATTCGGGAAGGGGTCCTTCGTGCTCTTTTCTTCAGGCTTCTATGAAGCGAAATACCATTCCAACCTAAAGACTTTGATATCGATTCTCAGGGTTCCTGTTTATCCTTGGAAAAAGGGCGAAGAGGGTCCTAGGGTATGAGTTGAGGCCGGGAATCTTGGTTCAGGGTTTAGGTGTTCAGGGTTCCAGCTTTATCAAAGCTTTTTCCTGTGACCTTTTGCTTCTAGATGGGTTGAAAGTTGCATGGGCGCTGGCCGGCATCGCAATCTGTGCCTGGTGACAAGGAGGAACTTATGGGACGTACTATAGGTGCCTAAACAATTGCCGATACTATTTTGGGGGCCCCTTATTACTATTATAGTATAATTAATTGGCACCAAAAAGCTATTATAAGGCCCCTATATTACAAGCTCAACTTTAGGGCCTTTGGGTCATACGCAACTAGGAGCTACAACCGCTCAGAACTAGGAGCTGCTCACAGCCCTGCAGAAATGCTTGTGAAATTAGCCCAGAAATTGTGCGTTAAGTAGTCTGCTTCTTGTTCTGCGCTCTCGTGTTTTAGCTGGACCGCAGAACCAAGTCCTGCAGTCTCTTGGAAAGGGGGTCGTACAAGATCCGTGAGAAAAGCTAACCCTGAGGCCCTGAAGCTTGAATCCCTTGTGGGTCTGACATGGTCTGACAATTCTGGGGCAATCACTTGTAATTATGACCCTCAGAAGCAGAAGGCAGTTGATGCCGCAGGTAAAGCCTAAAAATTTCAAGCCCGTAGTCCGTTTCTCAACTTGTAAGGAAGCCCGTGTGTATCAATGTCTCGCTTCGGTAGGGTAGGGGCAACTAAAAGCTACTTCAGAAGCCTCCTTAGGACCTCACAGCAAATCTCCGGGACTGCCGAATGCTGGCGAGCGTGGGGTCTTCAGATGCCCTCAGAGAGGCTCTGGCCGAGCTGCACCCTGGTCGGAACAGTGCAGCCTTAGCCCAATTAGCCATGACTAGGTTATGGATGAACTGAGCCAGACCCGGGGGAGGATCAGCTCAAGAGTTGCGTTTGGCGATGCTTATCACCCGCTCACCAAGTCAGCTTCTCTACCAACCAGCAACGAGAGTCATCGCAGATGTGGATCAGGCAAGTTGAGACATACGACAATGACTGTAGCTGCCGACAAAGATTTGCTAATGGAGTGGCATGCTACGGTAGTTCAAGGGTAGTCTTCTGATAGAATGCATGGCCTCAATCA